AGCCTGCACATGCTGACACAGCTACCTACTTGAACTAGCTGTTGAGGTTTAGCCTATTAAAAGCCTGCTTTCATGTGCTTAAACATAATCACTTTATGTATATTCAAAACAGACGCAGTGGCCTTATTAGATATTCTTACTTTGGCACCCTCTTAGGTAATTTGCAAGACAATGAGATAACTTTTGTTCTGAATGTTGAGACAACTGTCCTAACAATGACAAGTATGTGAGAGGTTTTGTGGTTCCATGTTTTTGCATTCTCTAACGGCGACTGAGTCCGTGAGGCTTGTAAACGTCTGTCACTTAACCAGTGCCAGACACAGCTTAAGGAAATCAAGTCTACACCTGTTGTTACAGTGTTTCCTATGCATGAAGTAGAAGCAAGCATTGATTCCTTCAGCTGTTCACATTGTTTGTTCTGAGATGACTGCAAAAACTATCCTAGGCCTGAAAAAGAAACACAACTAACCAGGTTCAGATCAGCTGTAGCAACTCTAGCCTGACTGCTGGCCTATAATAAAGATGACAACTTTAAATTAGGAGATATGCATTGATTTACAGACTCTAGTATATATCACATTTTACCATCAGCCATATCACCCTGCAGCTCACAACTGACAACCCACGGAAGCTCAGCAGGTGTGAACCTGGTCAGTACCTTGATTGGAGACCTCCTGGGAAAAACTAAGGTTGCTGCTGGAAGTTATGCTAGTGGAGCCATTACAGGGCACTCATCCTGTGGTCTCTGTGGCTCCTAATACCCCAGTATAGTGACCAGGCGTCGTCCTTCAGATAAGACGTAAAACCGAGGTCCTGACTCTCTGTGATTATTAAAAATACCCAAATCGAAAAGAGTAGAGGTGTTAACCCTGCATCTTGGCCAAATTTCCCCCTGGCCTTTACCAATTATGGCCTCTTACTTATCACAAACTAGGAATTGGCTTCATCACTCTGTTCTCTTCCCCGCTGATAGCTGATGTGTGATGAGCATTCTGGCACACTATGGCTGCTGTCACATCATCCAAGTAGGTGCTGCACATTGGTGGTGGTGGAGGGGAGTCCTTATTAATGTAAAGCACTTTGAGTGGAGTGTTCAGAAAAGCCATACATGTACATGTACATGTGAATTTCTAGGTTCATGTTACAAAATTGAAGTAAATGTCAGGCACTGCTGTCTTGCTCCATATATTATGTGTTTCAGGAAGGTATAAACCAATTTCACAATAAAAGCCGTGGACCTCAGCCAAGAAATTACTCTCATAATTTTTGTTATTTATTGGCCTCTTCTAAAAGGAAATGTTGACTTTCAGTTTTATTCAAGGCGACATTATGTTGTTAGCCCAGCCGAGGAAATTATGGGTACCAGACGCACCTCATTTTACAGTTGTTAAATGTAATATGGGACAGATTTAGTTGATGGATCAGAATGAATGTTTTGAATGTTATCTTGTGTTGTAAGTCTTAGTGTCCTTTGGAGCACATTGACTGACTTAATAGAAAAAAGCCTCTAGACTTCCTCACACTACTTCTCATGCCGCTCACTGTAGTAACTGATGTGAAGTACAGGGAACACTTCATCTGGGAAAACTGGTTCTGTAATTCCCCCAAATTACTGTCTCCTTAATTTTGAGCTGTAAATGTTTACGCACGTACAGTATATGATGGGATGTTGAGATTATAATTCACAAATTTGTGAAGCCTGATGTATTCACAGATTGAGGGATTAAAACTATAATGAAGACATGATTGTTATTATATGATATATTTATAAATAAAATCTAATCTAATGTATGCAAACATTCAGGTGGGTAGCTGCATCAGCATGCGTAGGCTGCAAAGGACAAAGTAATAGGTTTATTCCGTGCTGAAACAATAAGAAACAATGTTTCGACTGTGGATCCTTCTTTGCGTGTAAGATTCTAAAAGCATTAAGGCATAAAATAAAATTAAAGCATAAAAGCATTAAACATAAAACATTCTAAAAGCAAAATAATTGATTAGATCATCTAAACCGAACTAATTGGCACATTATTTGTGGTAGAATCTTTTCATTTTAAGGCTTAGCGGAGTGTGGATGTGTTGGAGACAGCTGATGGGTTCAGAATGCTGGGAATTCGAGGAACGAAACCAAGGGTAGTTTGGGGATCCCATGAGACAACTCAACCAGCTCCAGATGTCCAAGTTCTTCATTACTGCAAGGTCTTTGAGAAAAGGGGGCTCAGTGGTGACCAGGGAAGCCTGAGAACGCTTAAAAATTTCAAGAACACCACCCACAATTGTAAACACACTGTCAGGCCTGGACGTCTGAGCTATTGTGTCTGTCTCCTTTGGCTTGCTTCAACAGTTATTCTACAACCAAGGAATATGTTTTTCATCTTTGCTTAGGTGGAAAATCAACAATAATTTTAATAATAAAACGGTTTAAATTTTCAGCAGCCATATCACCCTGCAACTCACAACTGGCAACCCACTGAAGCTCAGCAGGTGTGAGCCTGGTCAGTACCTGAATGGGAGACCTCCTGGGAAAAACGTAAGGTTGCTGCTGGAAGAGGTGTTAGTGCGGCCAGCAGGGGGCGCTCACCCTGTGGTCCATGTGGGTCCTAATGCCTCAGTATAGTGACAGGGACACTATACTGTAAACAGGCGCCATCCTTCGGATGAGATGTAAAACCGAGGTCCTGACTCTCTGTGGTCATTACAAATCCCAGGGCGCTTCTCGAAAAGAGTAGGGGTGTAGCCCCGGTGTCCTGGGCAAATTTCCAATTGACCCTTACCAATCATGGCCTCCTAATAATCCCCCTCTATGAATTGGCTACATTCTGCTCTCCTCCCCACTGATAGCTGATGTGTGGCTCACTATGGCTGCCGTTGCATCATCCAGTTGGATGCCGCACATTGGTGGTGGTGGAGGGGAGTCCCTATTGCCTGTAAAGCGTTTTGAGTGGAGTGTCCAGAAAAGCGCTATATAAGTGTAAGCAATTATTATTATTTAAGGCTATAAAAAACTTAGTCTTTACTGAAGTGGAAGTTCCACAGCTTAGTGAAGCAGTGCTTACTGCATCACTTTCTATGTGTTCATTGCCATTTGTTTAGTTCAAGTTCAAGTTCAAGTTTATTGTCATTACACTCATATACATGGTATATGGTATAGCTAGCTCTCAGACATAAGTAGTACAAAGAGAAAAAACAACAACAACAATACAATTGTGTAGCAAAAGAAAGACAGAGACAACAGGCAGTGTGCAAAAAACAACAACAGACGATGTGCAAAAAAAACAACAGGCATTGTGCAAAACAACAAAAAGGTAACAGGTTATGTGCAAAAATATGCATCAACAGAATAAAATAAAGGGATAGAAATTATGGGGAGTGAGCTTTTGACATGTATGATACAGGTAGATTTTCAATGTGTGTTTGGGTTTTTGGTAAGAAAGAAAGAAAGGAAGAAGGCACTGTGAGGTTCAGATCGTAGGTGAGAGGTGAGGTGAGATGAGAGTGAGAGAGGCTGGGAATTTAACAGTTTGATAGTGTGGGGGTAAAAACTGTCTCTGAGTCTGGTAGTCTGGGCCCGAACGCTCCGGTACCGTTTTCCAGAATTACATTATACATTATAACATACTGTATCGTAAATGATGTGGGCCAGTCTCTGGGTGACTTTTTATTAATGTCCTTAAGTACCATGTAGTGCACTCTGTTTGCTTTCCTGGTCTTTGATAGAAAGCAGTTCTTTATGTTTATGATGTCTCCCAGGGGTTTTGTAAGGTATATTCTTGCAGTCTGTGATGAATTGAGATTTTCCATTGCTATTTTCCAAGTAGTTTAATATAAAAGTAGAATAATGTATGTAACTATGTTAAGATGAGATTTTAATTTTGTACTTCCTGTTGAAATGGGTACATTTTGGGTTTTAAGAGGGATTCACAGAGCATGATTGTTTCAGATAAAATTGGTCTTTGATCATTTTTAATTTTTTGTGAGAACCTGTGTTTTGTGGGTTAGAATATGTTTATTTAATTCTCTTGTTTATCAACAGTACAAAGATATTTTTTTTTCCTTACAAACAGACTTTTTTAGTTACCACTATACATTTTATGTGGTTGTACAGATTGCATGGGATATTTGAAAGCAATTCTCTACTGTCAGTATGGACACTGAAAATTTGAGTGATCTCAGTACTGTTTAGTACCATGCAAGAGATACAATTTTATTGCATTATGGTAAAGTTATATTGCATTAGGCAATTAATGGAACTATTTTTGGTGCTGTGATCAAAATAACTGCAAAAGACATTACAGGAAATCTAGGATATCTACAAATTCAGAACCTGAACCTGAATAAAGTTAGAATGCCTGAGTGCAGTGTATTTACATCCCTACAGTAGATGCTGAGAATTCCAGACATTTTCTCTTCATCGTTTGAAATCACCTATAGTTTGGGCTTCGCATTGTAAAGGGAATTCTTCTGGTTAATACACATGCAGCCATTGTTTCTAAATGTCTCTTCCTGATTTGGCACAGTTAAACTATTGACTGCTTTAAAACATGAATATTTTAACACAAGGCAGGACAAGCTGATACACCTGAGACACATGCAACTCTTTGAAAATAAATGTCTTCCTTGGCAAATGATTCAACTTTGAGTCACAATCACAACAGGATGTTTTATTCATGCTGGAAAGAGAAGAAAAGAAACACAATGTTTCAACTGTGGAGCCTTCTTCAGGTGTGAAGTCTTCACACCCAAAGAAGGCTCCACAGCAGAAATGTTGTGTTGCTTATCTTCTCCTTTCAGCATGGAATAAACCTTTACTTGTTCCTTTGCACCCTACGCATGCTGACACAGCTACCTACTTAAATTATTATAAAATTGTAATTGTATGTAAACATAGGAATAACCAGAAATTTTACCCCCATTAATCTCATGATGGCTCAAGCCTAACACTTTTACATACAAATAAATGGACTCCTCTGTTGAAATACATTTCCTGTTTTTTATTCCAGTTGGTCAGGGTGACTCTGCGGCTGTGTCTCAGAAAGAGGAAGAGCCTGAGAAGATGGAGGACCTCCAAGAGGAAGCTGAACCTCAGGTGAACGGTGAGAAGGAAGACCAGGATTCTCCAGCTGCAAATGATATTACACCAAAGGAGGAAACACCAAAAGAGGAAAAGGCAAATGAAGCCAGTGAAGTTGGATTTAAAAAGGTTTTCAAGTTTGTGGGCTTCAAATTTACTGTGAAAAAAGACAAGACTGAAAAGACGGAGCCTGTGCAATTGCTGACTGTGAAGAAAGAGGAAGGTGAAGAAAAAAGCTTGGATGTCACAGAGGATGCCAAAGGAGATGAATCCAAAACAGAAGCTAAAGCAAAGGTGCCAGAAGAGCAGGAAGTTACCAAAACCGCTGATGAACCTGCTGGTACAGAGTCACCTTCAGAAAAAGTCAATGGGGATGCAACCGAAAAGGTAGCACAACAAACTGAACCAAGTGAAGATGTTAAACCTGAGAAAGAGGTGGAGAAACCAGCAGAGTCTCCAACAAGCCCACTCCAGGAGATTCAGTCCCCTCTGAAGAGATTTTTTACACAGGGGCTCTTTTCCAGTTTAAAAAAGAAGACCCCCTTTAAAAAGACCAAAGAAGAAGAAGTGACTGCTGAGGAAAAGGCGGTTCTTGTGACTGTGGAAGAAAAGCATGAATCAGAGGAAAAGACAGAAGATGCTCCTGCACAAGAGGAAGAGAGTAGACCTGAGGAGGCAGCCCCTGAACCTCAGCAGGAAGAGCCTCTTGCGCAAGAGGAAAGCAAAACCAGTCCCCTGCCAGAGACAGCACCGCTTGTTGTAATAGAACAAAAGGAGGACGAGATCAAAGTCGAAATTGAGGTTGCACCCAAGGTAACTCAAGAAGATGATGAGAAGACATCAGATTTCCAAAATGCTGTTCTAGAAGAGCCAACTGAAGTGACAAAAGAAGTTGAAAGTGTGGAAGAGCATCCGGTTATGAAAGAAGAATCCCAAGAAAGTGAAGCTACCACTGAATCAAAAACTACAGAAGAGCATGTGCCAGATACCCTTGAAGAGCAACAGAAATCAGAGCACCCTAGTCCTGATGACACTCCCACAGCTAAAACGCCTGAGACCGTCACCACTGAAGCTGAGATTTTGTCCTCACAAGAAAAGGCTAAAGTTCAAGGTAGCCCCCTTAAAAAACTGTTCACAGGGACTGGTTTAAAGAAACTTTCTGGAAAGAAACAGAAAGGAAAGAAAGAAAATGAGGCAAAATTGGCAGAATCTGGTGAAAATGTGATTGAACAGATCCAGTCATCAACTGAATCTGCAGAGGTACAGAAAAGTGATAGCTCACCTTCCTCACCTGAAGAATCTACTGAACGTTTTATTGGTGAGGAAGCCCAGGCAGAGACCCCTGGGCCAGACGTTGAAGGAGATGGAGCTACCTCTGATGGAGAGAGGAAGAGAGATGGTATTACACCTTGGGCTTCCTTCAAAAAGCTTGTGACACCAAAGAAACGAGTCAAAAGGCCTTCTGAAAGTGACAAAGAAGACGATGCCAATGAAAAGCCTAAAAGTGCAACTATGTCATCCACGGAGAGCTCTGGATCAACAGAGAAACCAGAAGAACCCAAACCAAGTGAAGAGGAACAGAAAATGGAGCGCAGTATTGAAGAGCCCAAAAAGAAAGTTGACACTTCTGTGTCTTGGGAAGCTCTGATCTGTGTAGGATCATCCAAAAAGAGAGCTCGGAAGACATCTGACTCTGATGACGAGTCCCCTAAAATTGAAGAGGAAGCACAGAATTTAGGAGAGGAATCTGCCAAAAACAAAGAGGCAGCTGTGGAGTCTCCAATTGCAAGCTCTCAAGAGGCAGACCAAGAACAATTAGCTTCATCACCAGACCAGGCAGGGAGCCCCTCAGACGGAGAGGGGGTGTCCACCTGGGAATCCTTTAAAAGGCTTGTCACTCCAAGAAGGAAGGCCAAACTAGAGGACAAACCCGAAGAATCTCCTGCAGTTACCACTGAACAAATACCTTCTGACAGTGAAGCTGGAAAAGAGGAGTCTACATTTTCTTTAAAGAAATTAATTCCAGGTCGTAGAAAGAAGAGGTCAGATGCAAAACCAGAACAGGCTCCAGCTGATGAGGCTGATAAAGCAGTTGGATCAGCAGAGGAGGACTCTGATACACCAGCTGTAGTCCCCCTGTCAGAGTATGATACAGAACAGATAGATGCTACTGTGAAGATAGAGGCAACTGCTGAAGTGAAGCCAGAGCAACAAGAGGAGACTCAGACAGTAGAGATCAAGCCTTTAGAATCCACCCATGAAACACAACAGTTATCGGAGCTGGAAAAGTCTGGAGACACAGTACCCTCTGCAGATCAACACATTCAAGACATACAAGTATCTGTGGAGAAAGCTATACCTGACATGGATGAACGGTCACCGTCCTGGATCTCTGCAACAGTCACAGAAGAAATAATTCAGGAGCAAATAGAAAGCATAAGTAAACATCAGCCACTTAGTGATATCCCTGAAGAAGTGGCAGTAGAAGAGACTACTATAACCAGATCTCCTACTGAAGTGGAAGACCACATCTCTCCAGATGACACAATAGCACAAGACATCATGGAGTTGACATCTGAGGCAGTGACAGCTCTCGAGCAAGCACCTGAAGAGTCCTTTGCCGAGGAGACAACAGAAATGGTTTCAGCAGTCTCCCGATTAACCGAATCCCCAGGAACGTCTGGCGACGCTACTCCTGTTCCTGGAGTTTATGAAGTGAAACAAACAGATAAAATTCTGCAAGAGGTTGCAGAAAACATAAAGTTGACGCCGATTGCCTTATCTGTAACTAACACTACTGAGCAACCAGAAGAAACTGTTGTGGTAACTGTCCCACATTTGATGGCATCAGCTGTAAAAGAAGATCCTATTGTGATGCAAAAAGAAGCAGAAGCAGTGGCAATATGCACAGGCCTATCCACTCAAGAAATAGAAGCAGTGGAGACAAATTTACAAAAATCCACAGTTGAAGTTATTACTCTGGTAATGGAAGCAATATCCACGGAAGTTGTTGCTGAGGAAAAGACAGAGACGTTTCAAGAAGCAGGGGCTGTTGAGGAAGAGGTTTGTAATGCAGAAGTACAGGACATCAAAACTGAATATCAGGAAGTGGAACAACAAGCTGAGACAGGGGAGAGAGTCGAAGAGAAAGAACTCCAAGAAGACAAAGCATCCCAACAAGATGGTGAGATAGGCAAGGTCTCTTTGGAAACAGAGACAGATTCAGAACTTCAGAAAGAAGTATGCAAAGCTCCCAAGGAGAGTGAAACAGAAAAGGAAAGTGGAGAACAAGCAGGAACATTAGAAGAAATTATAGAGCCAGAGTCACTTCAGCCAATCACAGTCAGTGGACAGCAAGATGAGTGTGAACATGAGGATCAAGAGGTAGTAGAACTTACACCCGAGCTTGAACCTGCTGAAGGTCCAGCAGTAGAAAGAGTCGAGGAGCTTATCTGTACTACACCTGTAGAGGTAACTGAAACATTGGTTACAGTAGAAGAAAAACTGCAAGAATTCAAAGAGGTTAAAGACCTTGCAGACCTTGAAGTACCAGCAGACGAAGTCATTCAATGTGCAGCACAGGAAGTAGTTGCCTCAATACCTGAAGCACCAACTTCTGAGAGCTCAGAGATGAAGGAGGCTTCATTTGCTGTATCAGCACCTGCTGTTGAACCTGAAGTTCCAGCAGTTCAAAAAGAAGAGGAGCTTATCTGTGCTTCGTCTGTAGAGGTAACTGAAACATCAGTTATAGAAGAAGAAAGAGTGCAAGAATTCAAAGAGGTT